AGTATTATAATGTGTTTATATTAAAATGTATATTGTTGTGTTTATTTAGTTTTCTTTTTGTGGAATAGGAGGCAAACGAGCAGACGGATCATCTGATGGTAAGCGCGGCCCATAAAAATAGCGACTAGGACATATCGAGGGGTGCCCAAGACGAAATCTCTATGTGTGTTTCATCAGAAACAGTTAAGGACAGGCGATTATGGCAAGTTGCTAAAGTATGTATTATGATCAGATAATTGAGTTTTATTTGATTACTATTTTTTTTATTACAAAGTATAGGTTATTTATTGCCATATTAGTTACCTACTTAGGTAGAAAGTATCAATTGGATATTGAATACATTCTGAAATGAGTCTTCTAATGTTTGCTATAAGACAATTTATCAAAACGAACAATAACCATCAAAACTTCATCCTACAGATCATAACATCTAGAAGCTAGATTAAAAATTTCACTTTACCGTTTCCAACACCGTAAAATATGGTCATTTCATCCCGTATAAGGTTTGATTCCAATTCTCCAACCCAAAACAGATCTACATACTGTTGTCTAGACATTAATAAAAGTCTCTCGTATCAGATGTTTGATGAGATATACATTACAAAGAACGATTGAGAGGTGAATAGAGATCGAAGAGGGGTGAATCGATATTGGGAATATTTTCATAGTAGGTATCAAAAACTAAACGAAACCAACCAAACCAAAGGAGTCTGGAACTATGCCCAGTGTATGCCAATGGGCTCACCTAGGGGGTGTATGGGACGGTATCAATTCACCACTCTTCTGTCCCTATTCACATCTCGATCCCTATCCACCCCATTTGACGGTACGTATGGGATGAATCTATTTCTTTATTTGTTTATCTATAAGCCATAGACACCCGGAACAACAGATTACAGAGGAGATTCAAGTGCGTTGCCGGCCGGTTTGAAAAAGATGAACGCTCTTTTCTTGAAGAATTCAGCATCTACAGAAAATCAACAATCTATATCCTAGCCTTATAAAGCAGACTAATCAATTAGAGCTACAAACTGAAACTTAGATTGCCAATTAACATTTAAATAAGAAAACTTTTACACCCAACGTTCATGAATATTCTCTTAAGGGTGAGTATTTTACGTCAACCATAATTAACGATGTATTTTCTTTAATTATAACTTCAGGTGTTTACCTGTTTAGCCACATAGGCCTTTAATTATAGAATAGAATATTTTCACAAAATACTTATGCCTAAAACATAGTCACATTCATATATTACGTCTATGTAAGTGTGTTTTAAAACATACATAAATATAAATCATTTAATGGGTACATTTATTATATTGTACGTTCAGTCTCGTGCATTCTAAAATGCTTATTAATATTCGCGAATATCTTGCCGACTCATGTCTGTCCTAGCATCGTGCGATTGTACTGAAGGACTTTCAAAGGCATTTTCTACGCAGACAACGTCCCAGACCTGCCTCAATAATATTTATTTTTAACTTTATTTCTTCTCCTTTACAGTGGGTTTTCTTTAAACAAATCTTGTTATGAACAAAGAGGTCGAGTCAGAGACTAAGAAAATATTTGTTTCGTGCGTAATGTTCCACAAATCGTCCAGTGTACGCTTTGTTATGAGCACAGGTATGTATTACAGGTAATTTAAAGTAAGTTAGTTATCTATATGAAAATTTGGTTCTGGGTTAATAACCTTTAGAACCTTATTATTATCTACACACATTTATAAAGGTAGATTTTAAGATTTATAATTAAATTCCTATGCACTGTTAGATAATTTTGATACAGAAACAGTGTAGGCGTTCTTCACATATGGATCAAATTAGCCTGGTCATGTAAGACAGGTGCACCGCCCACATAAATATCTTTGACCCGTGGAAGTGCGAAACACGTGTAGAGAAGTACATAACCTACGTAACTTGCATTCTTGCAAGTGTAAATATTTGCTGGCAAATGGTGTGCAACTATGTCATATGATTTGAGATCGGCTATGAGCATGAAGGGTTTGTTCAATAAAGTTTAGAGTAATGATGTTTGATTTTATTCTGAGTGGCATATGGAAGTCGTAGGGGGACTCTAATGGCTGACTTGATGGTGATGATGTGAAAACTACTCAGAAGTAAGCTAGTTTTTTATTTTAACCTTTATGCATGTATGCATCAAGTGGTAAATGGCTATTTGTTGATAGCTTCTGGTATAAGCTATACAAAATTTGAAGAGCGATGCCCTCAACAATTTATAACCTAGCTGTAACTCTACAGACTTCATACTATTACTACAACGTGTGTAATAATCACGTACAAATTAAGCTCAAAATTAGTTTGAACTATACGAAGTTTTCTTGGGTAGATACTCATATCCATATCCAAAACATAATTTCACCCCTGTAATTTTTCGTAAGCGTAGGAGGATGTTTATATTATAAACCATATTATATTTCAAACAGTAAAATTTCCAATCTCATTTCGGTTGACAGTGACTAGGCGACAGCCAATTATGTGTGACGAGTTCGATATCTGATACATGGGAAATTCCTTCTAGGAGGAAAAGGTTATTGGCATTGCCTCTGTTTTGTAATGGTAACATACTACGTACCTTCTTTTTCTCCTCGCCGTCATCAGCAACTTTAGCCTCAGTAATAGTGGGTAACGTAGGCACAGTCGGTACTCCAGGCATATTAGGAACAGTCGGTACTCGCGCCAACGCTTCCAAGTTTAGCGAAGAGTGCACTCCAGGATCAATGTTTAGCGGCGCCTGGTAATAACAACTTTATGTTCAGTTATCAAGGTCGATTTTAGTTTGGGAAGTCATACTTCGAATTGTGGATATAAGTCCTTTCGGAAGATATAGGTAAACGTTACTTAAATTGCACTTTCATGCAATTGCCTTGTATTTGCATCTGTGTTTTGATTGTAATGGACACTGTAGCGATGTTATCATGGTAGCGACGATTAAGTTTGACTAAAGCACTCTTTTAGTAACGTTCACTTATTTCGACCATAAATCTCGGAGTAACTTATTTTCTTTATTATTGTCTCTCCTGTTTACAACCTAATATAGGGTCACTTGTATACTTATTATAACTATTGTAACTACTTAAAAATCGTCTATCATTAAAATGTCATTCTAATTTACCATTGTATTAGGTTCAATTTTGTATTTCGCAATTCATAATCGAGTTAAAAATTTCGAGGTATGACTGTATTACAATCACGGAGCAAGTTTTTATACTTGCTCCATGATTCCAACTACCAATCGGTAGACACTTCATGCACCACAATATCCAATGCGACAGTAGAATTTGAAAGATAGCATTCACAGAAAATGTTCGCGTGCTTCCCGTACAGGTAGGAAAGTTTGTAGAAATACAATCAATACCAGACTACTCACTTAGCGATAATAACAGCGACAAAGAAAGGGGGAATAAAGCTTGCCAATTGTACGAAGCCATTGCCCTCAATATGGCATACAAATACTGCATAATATATGAACATTGTCCACAAAAGACGCGATTTGCTAAATAATTTTCATTATAAAATATTAATAATTTGTATGAAATCTGTGGTCGTCCTTTATTTATGCAACATTTTACAGCTTCAGCATAAATTAAATTTTGCTATTAGTTCTAGCTAATCTGATACATCGATCGAAACTAAAAAATATTAGGGTTGAAATGTGCTAAGACCATCAAAAGCCAATTTTTCTAATGATTCCCACTTTGGAAGGATAAAGGCGTAAACATTATAATTTGTTAAATAAAGACCCACCATGCAATTTTATAGTCCCATCGATTTAAAGTTATTCCCCAAACGAATGATGAAATTTTGCAATTATAATTTCTATGACATGAAAATACTTGGCACTTTCAAGATCTACAATGAATGGTTTGGAGTCTGAAAGTGATGTAGGTATGAGTGAAATTCATGTTTATACCCACTCGGAACTTTTCATTTGTCAGATTAAAGAAAAAGTTTCCATATAAAAATAACAGAAGACTTCAATTTCACAGAATATTTCTTTACAAGTTTTTCTTTACGCCCTTATTCCTCACCCAGTGCAAAATCAAGTAAAATTTTCATGCACAAAGTACGTACGCTGCCAAAACATGCTTCCTAATAATTTTGTTAGCACATCAAGCCGAGAGACAGGACTTAAAGTACCTAGCAGTCTGCTAGATATAGTATACCACCACCTCAAAGGGACGATGCGTTTCGTCTGCATTTAATAAGTAAAAGAATAATAATTATGGCCAAATAAAAAGCGAATGTTGTATAAATGTCCTAATAAAGAGTTATTGTTGTATAAATGTCCTAATAAGGAGCTATTGTTGTATAAATGTCCTAATAAAGAGCTAATGTTGTATAGATCTATCTTTTTTATAATCAGGACTGATTTGTAGTTGAACGTGAGTTTTCAATGCGGATAAATGTAATATTGATAGTTTAAACAATTGACATTTACCAATTTGTATCTACATAATAATAAAATAGCCAATTCAATGATTAATTAGAATTAATTGTGATAATACTAAAATTGAATGTGTTCAAAAATATCAAACATCAAAATCGAAGCATTTAAGTAATTTACTAATTTGGTCAAGTGTAGGTAATTCGAAAACTTGGGATAGCTTTCGAATAATTATTGAGTAGAGTTTAAAACAATCGTCCAAAACCTCACAGCTAACTTAACATTACTGTTTTAATAACAGCAAAGAGTTTCAAAACTTTCAGATAACGAAACTCATTTCTACTCAAACTCCTTTCGCAAGACGAAACGCATCACCTTAAAAAAAGTACTTAGAATAGTAATATTAGTGAAAAGCATCTACATACAGTATCGTCTACAACGTTCACCTTCAACCGCTTCTCCATAGTACCGTCTGGGAGCTGGACCACGAAGTATGAACCTCCTATTGACCCTCGTTCCATTTGCAACCTTTTTTCTTCAGCCATACGTTGCAATAGCGGCTTTTCGCCAGATGTCTGTAAGTTTTAGGTAGTGTTTATGATAGTAAGAAAATCACAATAACTAATTTAAAAATGTCTAATTAGTGTGAGTTTTAGGATTTCTGCTTTTTAATAGTTAGTCATCACAGTACCTAATCATCTTCATCGTCAAGATCATCAAAAAATTGTATCAAATATTTTATTATATTTATCTTGTTTATATTAAAACTTTCGTGAGACATCTAAATTAATTATTATGTTTCCGGCTTGCTCACGAAACTGTTTCACGAGGAACTCGACTAGTTTCAAGCCATGCTAGAGGCTCATATTCATGAGCATCTGATGTTCCTCGTCAAACAGTTGAGTAAGCCGAAAACATAATTTTATATATATAAAAATGAAACCCATTTCCCGTCACGCCATAACTTGAGAATGGCTGGACCGATTCGGCTGTTTTTTTTTATTGTGTTTGTTATTGTCAGGAAGGTCCTGAAAATCTTATGGGAACGGGAGAAAACGGCATTGCGTGTACGAAGTCGCGGGCAGAAGCTAGTGATTATTATATTATTTTTATTTTCATATGGAGACAAGACAAGCACTAAAGACATCCAAACAACAAAGTCTGAAGCCGAAGTATCACTATTGGATAATAATGAGCTAGAACTGTAGAAGTCAGCTAAAAAGGTTATCGATGGGGTCATCAATAAATTACTATAATTAATTACAAGCATTTCCATGTAAACAAATTAATTAATAAAGCCAAATAATGATGATCAGCAAATCAATCTGTTTATCATTTAATTACATTGAAACAATTAAACCTACTTATAACTGAACTATTTACCTACTACACAGATACCTATATTTTTTCTAACAACTACATTGTGTAAACAATATAAAGAGTAAATTCCAAACAAATAACGTAGGTACATAAAATAATAGATGAGCAATAGTTTCCTTGTATTTTTGCATTGAGGTTTGTGGTAAAACACAAACTATTAACTAATAGTCTTAAGTACTTTGAAGAATAAGTATTTACTGTATCTAGGTGAAACAAAGTAATTGACTTAATTTCCTTCTAGGTTCATAGAGGACTGAAATGAAATCATTTATACCATACCAATATTATAAATGAGAAAGATTTGATTATTTGTTTGCATTGAATTGAATGTCATTTGATACGAAATTATTGGACTGACGTAAAAAAAATCAATTTCAAAAGTAATTTTTCAAAGAATAGTGTCGGCTACTTCTATTTAGATATTCCTACAGGATCCGGAGTATAATTTGAGAGAAATATCCTATATTCCACCTGGGTGAAACCGAAGTTTATAAATATAATATTTATACATGCTAGATTTCCATAGTATGTATAATTATTATATTTATAGAGTCATTACAAGTTGTATGAGTTATTTCATGATGGAATATACCTATAGACTATAAATCGAATGGGTATTTCCTGTATGTATGTATGTACGACTCTATTTTATGTGTATAATATAAAGAACATTTACAAACTGCTATACTTAGCTGATCCTACGAGCTTAACTAACTTAGGACAGAGACCGAATGTATACAGCTGTGTAGTAAGACCGAGAAATCCTTATTAATTGACATGGAATACCCAGCTTAATGAACACATTAACTCAGTAAGCTAGGCTATCTTACGTCTATCTTAACATTGTACCTTTTATCTATAAAGAGTTTGCAGAGGTGACCAACGTAAGTGTATCAACAATGTGTAATATAGTTGACCCTATCTTGCTAATAATGGAACTTTAATTCATGTAAAAGTAGTACAAACCTTAGGATAGACCAACGGTCTCATTAGGGCACCGAAAACAGCACAGTTAAGGATCAGGCCAGCCAACAACAAGTTAGCATTTTGCCAGGATCCGAATTCATTGAGCAGTAGGGCGGCTAAGGGTGCAAAACTGAAGGTTCCCACTCCTGAGCCACATACAGCGATACCCGTAGCAAGGGATCGCCGGGACTCGAAGTAGTAACCCACGGCAACCACAGACGGAAGGTAGATCATACCGAAGCCGAGGCCTGAAACAAAGTTCATGTTTAATCGAGGAGGAAAATAACATATTTATTTACTTTGCTGATAATAACTTGATGAACCTAATTCATAACAAATAATAAATGTTATAACCTACTTTGCAGTTCATGTATTCCTACTGCGTAATTTGAATTGACATACTAAGGTATTGGATAAAAGTGTGACTGCTTCCATGTGTTTGTATAATATGTGTTTGACGGGTCAAGTAAATTGTGCCATTAGGTTTTTCTGTCAAAAGCACACTGGTGCTTATGAGCCAAAATAGGTTTTTGTCAAAAAAAGCACCAGTAGCCATAGCAGTTTTTTTAAAACTACGTCATAAATGATCGTAAGGGGATTAATGACAGTCATTATGTTACAGACATAAGAGGGTCAGATGTGACAAAACCTTCGGTAAATAAGACTCTGCCCCCAATTAAACCAGAAGTTCATTCATCCGTGACTCACAAAAGTCCAGTACATTTTCGCAGACTAAGTAGGAACCGACATCACAAGTTCACAACCGGCATTTGCATATGTTTGGAACTCACGCCGCTATGCAAAACAAAATCTTCAAAGAGGTGAAACACTATGATTAGTGGCAGTTGATCAATTTGGCACACTCCCAAATTACAGAGAACTTTGACCAATTTGCCTGAGATGCCTACGTCACATAATTTGGCTTGCGATAAAAAACACAGACCGTCATCCAGTCGCCGGTATTTCACTGGTCTGACTCGTGGGCATTGACATCAGATTCGGATCGTTAGGACCAAGTCATCGATACCTTGATAAACAAAGAAATCTTACATTTCATGAATAAAAAATACTTTCACACTCCACTCCAACGATAAACTCGTTCGAAAGAATACATTATGCTACATAAGGTACAAACAATATGCTAACGAACTCCTTATCGATTATTCAAATATACCTATAACATAATAATATTTCGTTTAATAATTAGAGCAAAATGGGTCAGATAAGATATGAGAGTTATTCACTTGTCACAATTATGCAATTATCGTACATCCTCAGCGCTGTATGCTAGTAGCATTATTTCTATTACACGACTTTTACTAAAACCGCTACAGACGTTCCCACGTTTATCCCCATTGATTCTCAAACAAATAACACCCCCTTTTGACTTCGTCCCTGTAGACGGCCTTGGCTAGTTACCGAGCAACATCTTAATGTAGTCGTTAAAAGCCGTTAACGACATAAGTGAATAGGAAAAACATTATTCCATAACGTTTAATTTTATGATAACATTTGAGTACAGTATAAGTTTCATAATACGTGAAAATAATTCAGAATATGATATGTGAGTGAGTCAGTGTTTGTTGTCGGCCCACAAATCAGTATTTGAAACCACACAAAGGAGCATATGGGTTGTTGCCTGCTACAAAGAGGTCGTCGCCACTTTATAAACGCATGCGTCACTTCCCAGTACAATATTCCACATTTCTCATCAAATAAATTAATCATCAATTTACACACAATGTTGCCAGCTGGAGACGGTACAATGAATCGACATTTCACCCATATTCTTTTAAAACGAAGAAAACTATGTAAACCACTATGTTTATAGGTTAGGTGTAATTACTCAACAAAGTAATACTAAGTAATTACCTTACCAATGCAAATACTTGATTTAAGTGAGCATTTATTTATACCTACGTAAAATGTTTAAAATCACAAAGAGATAAGAAGATTCTCTTCAAAACATCCACAAACACACTGACCTATTTCCGTACGTTAGTCAGCGTGATACGAATGCGAAATAAAAACAAACTTTAATTTAAAGTTCAACCATTCTACCGAGGAAATAATGAAAAACTCCAAGTGTTTCAAAGTAAATTTCCAATAGACTTGTTTGTAAACAAATAATTGGCAGCAAAATTGAAAAGTTGTACGAATTTTTTGAACTGCTTCTTGGAAACTTCGGACAACAGAAGCAATCGACATCGAGGTCAAAAGAGTCTTTGTGAAGAAAATGTTTCTTTGGCGTCTCATGTTTTCTTTTTTCAAGACTTAAGACCAGACTCTTTTCTTTTGCAGGCTACAATCTTTGTGCACGTTTCTACTCAGAGGATTTAAAAACTTTTTCTGATATTGGATAAGATTAGGTGCGATCAAACAGATGCATGTATTCACGATTTATTTTGTTTCTGTTAGCAACTGGCGATAAGGTATTTTCCTATCGAATTATATACAGCGCGTCAAATTGTCAATGTTTACTTAGTGCCACTTTAGGAATATAATGGGCAAATAGAATAAGTTTGATCAACTCCTCACACACGAAACTATTATGGATCTTTTGTTTCATCTCTAATGGGTAATTTTTTTTAACAAATTGCCTTACCTACAATTTTGAAAAGTCGGCCTAAATTATTGTCGACATTGAGACTTGATGACCTCACCGTTTGGTTGCGAACTGGGATCACTAAAATTGGTGTTAAATAAACGTGCTAATCATTGAAACCTTTATGATTTAGGAAATACTAACAAGATGATATCTTTGTGTACTTCTCGGGATTTTGATAGAACTTACTGATTTCATATTCACGATTTTCTTTACAACTTGGAAAATGGATCATAATCTTACGCTTTATGCGACAGTGACATAACCATAACATGAATGATATTTTAGACGAGAATATTTGAACTGGGAACGAAGACGACGTATTTTTCCATCGTTAAAACCTTGAATGGCCGGCCGTACGATATAAGAATTAGGTCACATTGGAAATTCTATAAACGATCCCGTGCGGGATTGAAAATAATCATTTGCCAGCTATTAAATCTCAAAATAGATGAAGTGTGTAAGTTGTAACGTGTATGTACAATTAAAGACAATATAATATTCTAGCCTAGTAAGGCGCCATGTTGTCTGCAACAGTTGGCAGTTTGCCAAGCGTCCCATGTTCTTAATGACCTTGAAGTTGTTTCAATGTACACCACAGACTCTTCATTTGTCATGTAATTAAGCCAATCGGACGAACGAAGATTAATTCACTACCAATTAGAGAAATGTTTATTCTTGAATAAGCATACTATCTATGAGTATTGACTGTCTCGTTTGTAAGTAATAAAGGGTTCTTTGAACACTTTTCAGTAATACAACCTTCTTGCAACCTCTTTACCATTCAGGCCGTCGAACAAACTAAAAGTATCCCGTAAAGTTCTGCGAATATAGAGTCTATTTCCAAGAAACTTTCCCCTTTCATAAAACAGGGACTTATACTACTAAGCGGCATCCATAGCTGTAGTCTAGCGTCCCTGTATTAGTTATTTAAATCGTCGGGCGACAGCAGTACATTCTGCGAATGGAAAAGCCCGCTTTTCCTCGAATTCTGTTAATTGCCAGAAGGGCTTAACACTTCGAACTAAAACGTCATTTAAACCTTTTCGTTTACATAAGTGTCAGTTGGCAAATGTCCAATTTTACACTCGGGCTGTTGCCTCTGTTTTCAAGGGTTTGAGAGAACAAAGAACGTGTCGAAACTCTTTAATATTTGAAGCATCTCGGTTTATCGAACAAAAGACAGGATAAAATGCGAATGAATATTTCTCGAGGTACAAGTTTGTTTGAATAAAGGACAAATATTGTCTCTTCTGAGGGTCGACGGTACGGATTACATACAAACATACCTAAATCTTCTTTTACAAGTTTCGCAAAATGTGCGGTGAGAGAAAAGTTCACGCAAAGGCCGTCCCGTTTTTCGAATGCTAACGAGGAACATGTAACGAGCTGTCAAATCTCATATCCAATACTGTGACTGGTTGTTATTTTTTGGTCAACCTATCATATTCGTTATCATTGGATGCGACAACAGATTAAATTGATCAGCCAACTAGAAAGGGATATAGAGTTTGCTATTCGTATTGTGTCCTTGGCTCTTCAACCCCTTACAGTTTATAGTGGCCATGACAGTGACATACAAGTAATTACAGTAGTGGAAAGCCATACGTTTGCGTAATTAACAAGTTGCAACACTCCCATATCGATCCCTATATAGTAATTTCCTCTGGGATCTCGAAGGTTATCAGACAATATTGTTATAACATCACTATCAGGTTTATCCTTCAACGACATTTATAAATCGATTGAAAGAATTATAAACGTACAGAGTTTCCCTAAGGGCGTATAATTTAAATATTTAAATAGAATTCCAATTGGTGTTAAAATTTCCTGCATTCAAATGAACCGACAAATGATTCGCAATAAAGATTTCGCGCTCAATTGAGTAGCGAAATATGCAGTAGATCGTTGGAATAGTCGAAACATGTACACAGGCGAGGCTTAGTTACCAGAATAATATTGTTAAAGTCAATAGCTATTTTCTTTTTATAAAAGTAATCTAACTTAGATAATAAGAACAAACTTCAATCAAATCACAATAAACCGTATTCACGTGGACATAAGAAGCACTGTCGGAAAACTTTCTCGTGTAAATACAATAAAAGTTTTCAAGTACAATCTTACACTCGAATTGTATTCTCAACGATGAAGCTGTAAACATTCGTAACAAAGGACATGTTGTATAGCATCACGACAATGCATTTTCAAAAATAAATTGTCTCTGTATTTAATACAATACATTGTTTCTAAATGAAATAATTGTACAAAACAAATGTTTTCCAGAAGAGATAGTCATGTAGGAAAATAAATTATGCCGTATGCACCAGTTGCAAAACACTACATACCAGGAATATTATTAGGCGACGGGACTTTAGTAAAAGGTAATGATACACTCCGGGCCAAAAACAGTGAGTCAGTCAACGACTAATTACAAAAATAAAATTGCACGCACATATTATTGCAATTTTACTCTCATGAATTCATTGTCTATTTGACTCATGTGTTGATGACGGAAATAATTTGAGTCATGACTATGAGTGAGCTGTTATAATAATTAATCTGTATATGTATTCGCATAAATATGATAATAATTTGTTGCTACGTCGAATTTGAAACCTGAAGCGTTAATTATTCATGTTCGTTTCGCCATATTGTACCTATGTATCTCAATACCGACATTACCAGTTGTATAATTATTATCTAACAGTCACAGAATGGTACCGTTTGACCTTATTTACATCTGTTATTATGGCCATTTGTGGGTAATGTCAGTCAGATGTACAAACGGGTATATCCTTTAAGTCTGTGGTTCGAAGGACGGTTGGCCGCGACATGGTGACGCCACCCCATAACTGTGCTAACGTGCCAAGGCCAGCGGGCATTTACATAACTCACACGTTCCACATGAGTCCTGCAAGCCATTTTATTGCCAAGCCATTCTAAATATACTTGAAGTAGTGTGTTCAGCTCAAACTTAATTACCGACAAAAGAATTTTAGTTCAGTAACAGAAAATGCCTGTAGCATTTTTCTGAAGAAAATTGTTCCAGAGAAATGGTTCGGTTTGGCAATACATTTCACAATGCTAATCTGTTTGTCTCTCCGACGTAAACTGAATGACGTGTTTCCGCTCGGGTGAAATATTTCAGCCTTTTTATGCTGGAAATTCCAGTAAATTTAGAGGGCATAAAAATAAAAACCTCGTTAATTTTTATGTGGATATCAGAGTACATACTTAAACTTGACGTGGGTAAACATGCTAGGTATACGAGCATTCTTGGAATTCTCGATCAATATCTAATTTCAGTGAAACACAATATTTTAATCACATAATCTGAGAATTCATCCCAGTTAAGGTCCTAATAGATAATAAAATTGTGTTTTTCTAATTGCTGTAGGGCAACGAAGCGAATGAGGAACATGTAAATATTTTTATTTGATGTACCTATAATGTGTGAGGAAGATAAAAAATATAAAATTGCCAAAAGATTTTCTTTTCCATAAGTGACTATACCTGCTAACGTATTACGTCATCGTAACCCCGATATTGATGGATTGACAACATATGAGATTATTCCATGTTCTTATAAGCAGTTTACTTCCCACATCGTTGATTTATCAAGAAATATCAATAAAATCAAGCGCTTCCGTAGTTTTTAGTTCTAAGAATGGATTGCCAAGTAAAGTAAAATTTTACTTCTATCAATACGTATTATTTCATCTCTGTAGCGGACTTCCATCTACGCGATTACTAGAAAAACTTTAATTAATCCTGTTTGACTTCATTGTTGCTGTAACAACATTTGTTATATCCCCACCGTAGCCCATCATACCATTTGTCAGCAAATTGAGAAAGAGATACATATTTTTATATTGCTTCACACATAAGTCTATTTTAAGTCCACTCGCAACGATACACCGATTGTGTTCACGATAATTCAAAAAGTGCAGAATCATCATGAAAAGCTAAGAAATTGTAAACTCACCTCCGATTAACCCGTACGTGATCATCATCATAGTGACACTTTTACTGAACGTGGATAGGACGAAAGCAGCAGCAGCTACAAACGACCCAGCCACGCACACTGCTCGGCACCCGAACTTGTTGCATAACGCCGAAACTACAGGACCTGCGAACAACATTGATATACAGAATATACTTCAAAAACAACCCTCAAGAAAACGGAACTCTACGTAACTGCCGATTTACATAACTCCAATCTCGAAGGGTTCCATTTAAATAAACAACTGAATATACTACTTTGATTAATGCTCCAGCTTTAATCAAATCGCAATTAATTAAGACCAAATGAATTTTGCTAACAGTAAAACTAATTAAGAAAACTATGCTTCAGAAGCGTAGAAATCTAATGGAGCTAAAATGTTTATGTAAGCACAACATCAAGAATTATGGAGAACTAATAAAATTGTTGCAATTTAGACTTGTTTATTTTCTTGTTAAGGATTCTCTTAGTGGGTCATTGATATTGTGGCAGTAAAGTAAATTATACTTAGTAGACTATAATATTAGCTTAAATATACAATTAACATGTCAAATGTAATATCGGTTTCTCATGCGAGGTATGGTATGAAGATATTAAGTAGGATCATTATCAATAACAGCCAGGTGACCACCTTGGTACTGAAACCTACAATACAAACTTGATCTGAGTTACTCGGATTATTTAAATACATTCTTAGAATCGAGTCCAAGGAATCGATGTGTCGTCGCAAAGGATGTACTTTGTTGTAAACACGAGTTTTTATTCTTGTCAAGACTTTTATTTGCTGTGCGTGACAATCGAACTTTCACGGAATTTTGTAAGATTGTGAATAAAACCTGTTTTTGTTTCAAAGTGAAATGAGTGTCTAAATTGGTCTCAAAATCAAAGTCAAAGCATTTATTTCAATTAATCCTTAAATAAGGCACTTTTGAAACGTCAAAAATTAAATCTTCCGTCCGTTTGTCCGTCAGTGAAGCTAGGCGCTCGTTCCAAAGTGTAGTTTCGAATGGAGAAGAACGAGCAAGAACAATGAACTGATGCAGTCAATCAGTTTTCTAAACTAGACAATGTCGAACACCTTGTCACTGGTGAAATGAGAAATTCTCAATCCTCTTACAAGTGACACTAATTTAGTTACTTTTAGTTGTAGACTTACTCTTATCGTGAATATCAGTAGCAACAAATTAAGCTATAATCACGAGGGATACGATTACGTCATGTTAAATATACGACAAGCATTATTTTTGATATTAGTAAAGATAATTACGTTAATCATGTGTTACCGAGTAGATAAACTTACGAAACTACGTAAAGACAAGATCTAAATTACTGATTAACGAAAACGCTGGGTCTTACTAACGAACATTTAACCAGGATTTGCTTTTTGATTACGTAAGTTAGGGCCAATATAAGAATTCCCGACAAAAAGTGAAAACTTATTTTAATAAAAACGTAGGCAAATTTGTACAGTACATTATAATCACGTCATAATCATACTATTTACATAATATATCCTAAATCAAAGTTCGCACAAAGATAAGAGTTCATTGAAATGTTGGGTCAGTGTGCTAGGTCATCCTGTTTCAGATACCTTTGTTGCGATACACAAAATTATATAATAAAACAACTTCTACATAGCAAAATTGTTTTCTAGGACACATTTTTTATCAGGCCAGACCTGTATCTACGATCGTAATCGAGTACTTTCAATCAGGTCAATGGCAATTTAAAATAGATAAAATATGATAGCGTTCGACGGATAAAATACTGATGGGTAAGCCTACAAAACGATGACAGTCAACAATTAAGTTGATAAGCAATTTCTACCACTTTTGCATAGAAACAAATAAAATTATCGATCTTTGAGTCATGGGTTTAGTCGCAGATTGATTTGATTGTGCGATTTATGAACCGCAACGAGATATAATTAATATTTCTATGTTAAGTGTTACATAAAACTTGTTAGCGTGGGCCTTTTCTAACTAATCCTGATGGATTTACGTGTCTGCCACTAATGCTGTGTACTTACTTAGTTATCACAACGGCATCGAGGTACTCATAATGAACTACGTTTAACATCGACACGGTTATTTCATTTTACTGCATACGCTTCAAATGTAAATTACTACACCTACGTTGGTACACGATATCAGTGGAACAGATTTAAGTATATATCTTTCTAGATAATCTTGTGTAAAAAAGCAAACACGAGTAATCAAAGGAATGACATGTTTTATAAATATTTGTTGTAGGCTACTGGGTTTTCTAGATTTTATAGATATCAAGCTTTTGGAGGTCAATACATAAGTAGACGATAGTAGGGATGTAAAAAACGATCATAAATTGGAACCAAAACATGCAATAAACCGAGATTGTGGAGAGGTTTATTTACCACTTCTTGAATATGCTAATCCTGCAATTTATTACAATATTAATGGACTGGTATCCTCATGAACACTAGATGCATACATTTCTAGTTAAATACATAGGTATAAACAAGCCACACATGAATAATGGATAGATGCACGTGACAACGTGACCCGAATTGAAAGGAAATGAACGAACGATTCGATTGCAATGTCGTCCAAAAAGGAGGAATTTAAAGGTAAAGCCAATTACCGTTTGTCAATTTAGATCCATCCGTCAGATGAACATACATCCTTCATATATTACTTCCTACGTATGAGTACAGTAGAAATAAGTAATGGCATCTGCACTACTCTAATAGACCTAGAATACAGATGTTCGTGTTACACGAACGCACTTACGATCGGCAATTACAACACAAAGGGTAAGCAATAAATTATTATCAATCATAATAAATCTTACCAGCCGCTAGATAGAATCCTGATAGAAGACTGCCGACCCACGCGACAGTGCCTTTACCCTCGCCGAAGTACGTCACTAATTCTGGTAGGAATATGCCGAATGTGTAGGCTATGCCGTCCACAATCATGTTACACATGAAGGATGCGAAGACCACGACCCAGCCGTAGCCCCCGTCGGGGGGAGGGGGCAGGGCTCCATAGTCGTAGGCCTCATCGTCGTCGGCGTCTGCGGCTGCGCCTTCCGCCGTCAGTCTTGCTGCTTCTTCGCATGACGTCTCACTTTCCGTCTGTAACAAAGACATAATAGTTTAAAAACATATATTTATAATCACCACTGCGGCTCTCGATAATGGCGACGCGCGCACCCTTAACCACAATGCAGTTACGTTGCAGTATTCTGAATAGTGCTATAGGGAAGTCACAAGCACTATGTGAGCGGCCATTGATTTTTCTGGAAATATTGACGATATGTATTGATTTCAAATACACGGAAGATGCTATCCTTATTTATAGAAATTAATATTTCATAGCTATGACTTATCATGCCCACCCAAAGTGCTAGTTTCAACGATCAAAATTAATTTGCGCAAACATTCCAGTCATTTCATGGACGAGTCATATCATAACGGCAAACAAAATCATCTAAAAATAAACCGCTGAGACGTTATGTTTAGGGTATCATATCAATCATCGGAATAGTTTCAGTCCTTTTCCATTAACATGATAAAATATTATTTTCGACCGGGTTTACAAACATTTATGGCTGACAAGTACAAGAATATGTCATAGCATAGCTGTTTCCAAACAATTACACATTAGTTTTACTTTGTCATTAAAATTAACGCGTCGTAAATTCAAATATATGACGTAATGTACGATTTCATTATTATTGTTCGTATTTAGCTTGCTTTATTATTGTCGTCTGTCGTAAATTTAATATACGTCAGTAATAAAACGTTTGCTCTTAACGAGCCTCCGGAATTTTACCGTAGCCTGTCGGTAACTTAATTTCCTTAGCCTGGTAAACTTTTATTTTGAGCTGCGTCGCTAACACCTACGTGGAAAACTCCACGATCAATATGCTACCAAGTTTCAATATACGAAAAAGGACTATCAGCGTATGTTAATAAGGTTGTTCGTTAATTTCACGGCCATTGTCACTACCATTGCCAAAGGTTTTATTGTGATTAACATGTATGTTGAATATTAAATGCGCGCAACTACATGCATCTATAATAGATAACTTGAAAACAATGAGACCATTTTATACGCGCTGGCAATCAGTTCTTTGTTCGTATTAAAAACAACAAGTTGTGGATGGAAAAGTGTGGAATAAGCTTTGTAAGAAATTGAATACAACATTTAATTAATATAGATAATACAATATGTGCTACTACAGGAAGTTTCAAAGCGCAGTGTATAAATAATGCTAGAATTGTAAACATTCTTACGTATTATCTGTTTCCAACCTAGTTCTAACTGCAATAACTGTACAAAGAGGCATGTTTACAATAAACACTAGATAAAACAATCTAGCAGTACATGTGTCGTTTAGTCACTCATGTCACAGTTGAAAATACTAATGTGGACATCCCTTTGTTGGCAGCATGAGCGGCGTTTCATTATCGTTTTATCATTTCTTTGTTTGCGGCCGTGGCAATAACAGTTGTCATGTTGGAAGCTACAACTATCTGACACTTGGACGTACGAATAAAGAGGAGTGTTCTATACACGTTATCAAATATGAATAGCCGTTACAGGATAGCAACACAATAATGTGCAGAAGTAAAACTATTCAGATAGGAATATGTTAGAAATGTTCGTACAAAATTCATCCTTTATTACATCACGCAGAATACCATTTACCTGCCGAAGGTAACGTTACCTACTGAAATACGAGTAGTTCGCTACTAGAAGCTTATTAGTTTGGCGCGGTTGTTTACATTGAAGTTCGAACACGTGCTGCCAACCTGCTGTTTCTACACGGCGTATCTCCAATGATAGTTACCAATTTAAAATAATATAAACAATGCGGCAGCGGTGACTCACGACGCCAGAGGAAAATTACTCTAGTCCGAACCGCGAAGTGTTTACTAAGCGCGGATTAGTGTGAACTTTGGTGTTTGTGAACGGCATATTATAGGTATTAGATATTATCAAGGAAAACAGTTTACAGATAACAAACAATAATGAATTGAAACTGTTAAACAATTCAGCGTTTATTGCTGCTGATAAAAGAAGAGCAAAGGAATAATTGGGCGATGAACGAACCAAGTTCAACATAAATGATAAAAATGAATGAAATTTTTTATTAATTTTAAGGATTAACGAGTTAGGTAACAGCTTAAACATAAGTAAATTAAAATTACACATACGATAACCTGTAATCACTTTTAAGAAAACGAACTGCGAATTAGGACGAGGCGTTAATTATATTATGGATATCGTTATATTAGAAATGAAAGCTAAATAAAGTTTTTATAAATATGATGAACGTATTCAGTTTGTCCTTTTTCCATTTATCGTTTTAACTAAAATTAGCAGCTATTCATTCGTAAACGTATCCATGGGTTTCTTATGATGTCCAGAACAGAACGGGTTTGGTTTGAACGCATGAATACGGCTGCCATTGTAACAATCTATCACTTTATTTGCTGCAGACGGGTGCTCGACCTTGTCCGTGTTTACTCCACAAACCGCTCCGGCATAGTGATTTATTTTGTTAACATAGATTATGGAATACGTACACACTTCCTAGTTTTCACTTACGTGATGTACAGATTTGTAAAGTCGTGGAAATCTTATATAGTCCGGTCAATTTAGACATTCGAAGTTACATAAAGTCCCAACAAGCTGAATTTTTGTGAAGTTGTTCAAAATATAATTACAAACAATGTCTAGAAGTTCCCCATCATTCCCCTGTAAGGAAAAAATTTAATTCAAGGTCAAAGGTCAAAAAAATGAGTTTTTCGCGATTTTCAGCA